GCTACATTGTTGTCCTTTGTCCTGAGGATGGACCGGGTCCTGTCCTGCACTGAGGTTAGGTCCACACCACTTATCTGTCCTCTGAGCATCCCGCTACATTGTTGTCCTTTGTCCTGAGGATGGACCGGGTCCTACCCTGCACTGAGGTTAGGTCCACACCACTTATCTGTCCTCTGAGCATCCCGCTACATTGTTGTCCTTTGTCCTGAGGATGGACCGGGTCCTGTCCTGCACTGAGGTTAGGTCCACACCACTTATCTGTCCTCTGAGCATCCCGCTACATTGTTGTCCTTTGTCCTGAGGATGGACCGGGTCCTACCCTGCACTGAGGTTAGGTCCACACCACTTATCTGTCCTCTGAGCATCCCGCTACATTGTTGTCCTTTGTCCTGAGGATGGACCGGGTCCTGTCCTGCACTGAGGTTAGGTCCACACCACTTATCTGTCCTCTGAGCATCCCGCTACATTGTTGTCCTTTGTCCTGAGGATGGACCGGGTCCTGTACCCTGCACTGAGGTTAGGTCCACACCATTTATCTGTCCTCTGAGCATCCCGCTACATTGTTGTCCTTTGTCCTGAGGATGGACCGGTCCTGTCCCTGCACTGAGGTTAGGTCCACACTAACTTATCTGTCCTCTGAGCATCCCGCTACATTGTTGTCCTTTGTCCTGAGGAAGGACCGGGTCCTGTCCTGCACTGAGGTTAGGTCCACACCACTTATCTGTCCTCTGAGCATCCCGCTACATTGTTGTCCTTTGTCCTGAGGATGGACCGGGTCCTGTCCTGCACTGAGGTTAGGTCCACACCACTTATCTGTCCTCTGAGCATCCCGCTACATTGTTGTCCTTTGTCCTGAGGATGGACCGGGTCCTGTCCTGCACTGAGGTTAGGTCCACACCTAACTTATCTGTCCTCTGAGCATCCCGCTGCATTGTTGTCCTTTGTCCTGAGGATGGACCGGGTCCTGTCCTGCACTGAGGTTAGGTCCACACCACTTATCTGTCCTCTGAGCATCCCCTGCTACATTCTGTTGTCCTTTGTCCTGTCCTGGAGGAAGGACCGGGTCCTGTCCTGCACTGAGGTTAGGTCCACAGCTAGCTTATCTGTCCTTAGGTCCCCTACATTGTTGTCCTTTGTCCCTGCCCTGCACTGAGGTTAGGTCCACACCACTTATCTGTTATCTGTCCTGCACTGAGGTTAGGTCCACACCACTTATCTCTCCTGCACTGCATCCCGCATCCCGCTACATTGTTGTCCTTTGTCCTGAGGATGGACCAGGTCCTACCCTGCACTGAGGTTAGGTCCACACCTAACTTATCTGTCCTCTGAGCATCCCGCTACATTGTTGTCCTTTGTCCTGAGGAAGGACCGGGTCCTGTCCTGCACTGAGGTTAGGTCCACACCACTTATCTGTCCTCTGAGCATCCCGCTACATTGTTGTCCTTTGTCCTGAGGATGGACCGGATCCTGTACTGCACTAAGGTTAGGTCCACACCATTTATCTGTCCTCTGAGCATCCCGCTACATTGTTGTCCTTTGTCCTGAGGAAGGACCAGGTCCTACCCTGCACTGAGGTTAGGTCCACACCACTTATCTGTCCTCTGAGCATCCCGCTACATTGTTGTCCTTTGTCCTGAGGATGGACCGGGTCCTACCCTGCACTGAGGTTAGGTCCACACCACTTATCTGTCCTCTGAGCATCCCGCTACATTGTCGTCCTTTGTCCTGAGGATGGACCGGGTCCTGTCCTGCACTGAGGTTAGGTCCACACCACTTATCTGTCCTCTGAGCATCCCGCTACATTGTTGTCCTTTGTCCTGAGGAAGGACCGGGTCCTGTCCTGCACTGAGGTTAGGTCCACACCACTTATCTGTCCTCTGAGCATCCCGCTACATTGTTGCCCTTTGTCCTGAGGAAGGACCGGGTCCTGACACTACTCCATGCTAGGGGTGAGTGGAGAGAATTCTGCCAAACCGACATCACTATTGGAAATATTTAGCATAAGCTCTCAAATGCTGGAATTTGCCTTTAGAGTTTGTTCACATTACCAGAGGAGGATAAAATGCTGCGGTTGAGACAAAGTTTTACCACCCCACAACTGCTCCTCCTTTAGCTGCAGAGGCAGCAGCTGGAGGTTTACGCCCTGTCGCTTTAAGTGAATGGGGCTGCTCTGCAACTGCCCCACAGTGCATGAGGATGGGGCGCTATAGTGCGGGGTCCAAGGGGTTCAAGTGGACAATGTATCCACACTGCCTTTCAAATGTTCCCTGAAGAGCGATCTGAATGCAGATTCACAAGTGTGAACGAGCCCTTAGGCTCTTGTGGTGAATCCCGCTGGCTGCAATCCATCCATTCCACATGGTGCCCCTAAGACCTTTGCTGACAATAGTGAAGAAGGAACCACAAAGCCGCCACCTAGGAGGAAGCGTTACATTGTGTGTAATTGGCCAAATAATCAGACGGAGGGCGCTGTACCTGGAATATGAAGAGTAGGACTGACAACGCCAATGGGGCTGACATGGCAAAACGGTGCGCATGCGGTACAGAACTGGGTTTATGACTCAATAAAAGCACTAGGTGGCAGTACAGACCAGTCTCTATAGGGCTCTGTAGCCATGAATTCCCACCAAACAATGCAGAACAGAAACAGAAACTCGCTGGTGGCTTCTGCAACACAATCTATGGCAGTGAAGACCAGGGTAGGTCGGGGTATACAGGTGAGCAGCTGGAGGGATCACTGGTTGGTACAATAAGTAAGTGACTGGAGAGGTTCCAGGACTGGTTCCACAGGTGAGCAGCTGGGGGAGTCCCAGGGCAGGTTCCACAGGTGAGCAGCTGCAGGTGTCCAATGGTTTGTATCACAGGTGAGCAGCTGGAGGAGTCCCAGGGCTGGTACCACAGGTGAACAGCTGGGGGAGTCTCAGGGCTGGTACCACAGGTGAGCAGTTGTAAGAAGTCCCAGGGGGCTGGTACCACAGGTGAGGAGAGCCAGGGCTACCACAGGTGAGCAGCTCAGGGCTGGTACCACAGGTGAGCAGCTGCAGGTGTCCCAGGGCTGGTACCACAGGTGAACAGCTGGGGGAGTCTCAGGGCTGGTACCACAGGTGAGCAGTTGTAAGAAGTCCCAGGGCTGGTACCACAGGTGAGCAGTTGTAAGAAGTCCCAGGGCTGGTACCACAGGTGAGCAACTGGGAGAAATACCAGGGCTGGTACCACAGGTAAACAGCTGGAAGTGTTCCAGGGCTGGTACCAAAGGTGAGCAGCTGAATGAGTCCCAAGGCTAGAACTACAGGTAAGCAGCTGGAGGTGTCCCAGGATTGGTACCACAGGAGCACAGCTGAAGGCATCCTAGGGCTGGTACCTCAGGTAAGCAGCTAGAAGTATCCTAGTGCTGGTACCACAGGTAAACAGCTGGAGGAGTCCCAGGGCTGGTACCACAGGTAAACAGCTGGAGGAGTAGGGCTGGTACCACAGTAAACAGCTGGAAGTATCCCAGGGCTAGTACCACAGGTGAGCAGCTGGAGGTGACCCAGGGCTGGTACCACAGGTAAACAGCTGGAGGAGTCCCAGGGCTGGTACCACAGGTAAACAGCTGGAAGCGTCCCAGGGATAGTACCACAGGTGAGCAGCTGGAGGAGTCCCTGGGCTAGTAATACAGGTGAGCAGCTGGAGGTAACCCAGGGCTGGTACCACAGGTAAGCAGCTGGAGGAGTCCCAGGGCTGGTACCACAGGTAAACAGCTGGAAGTATCATAGGGCTGGTACCACAGGTAAACAGCTGGAAGTATCCCAGGGCTAGTACCACAGGTGAGCAGCTGGAAGAGTCCCAGGGCTGGTACCACAGGTGAGCAGCTGGAGGAGTCCCGAGGTTGGTTCTACAGGTAAGCAACTGAAGGTGTCCCAGGGCTGGTACCAAAGGTGAGCAGCTGGAGGAGTCCCAGGGCTGGTACCACAGGTGAGCAGGTGGAGGTGTCCCAGGGCTGGTACCACAGGTGAGCAGGTGGAGGTGTCCCAAGGGTGGCACCACAGGGGGATGTTTCACTGACAGGAGTCCATATCCAATGAGGAGTCCCAGGGCTGGTACCACAGGTAAACAGCTGGAAGTGTCCCAGGGCTGGTACCACAGGTGAGCAGCTGGAGGAGTCCTAGAGCTGCTATCACAGGTGAGCAACTGCGAGAAATCCTAGGGCTGGTACCACAGGTGAGCAGCTGGAAGTATCCCAGGGCTGGTACCACAGGTAAACAGCTGGAAGTGTTCCAGGGCTGGTAACACAGGTGAGGCAGCTGGAGGAGTCCCAGGGTTGGTACCAGGGTCAGACTGACCATATAGGCACTCGGGCACTGCCCGAGGGCCCGGGGTCAGTAGGGGGCCCCATGAGATGCCCCTGGTACCTTTCATATGCTTTTTTGAGTGTGGGTAAGGACACAGGGGCCCCATGATTTCCTATTGCCTTGGGGCCCGATGAGTTGTCAGTCCGCCCCTGGTTGGTACCACAAGTGAGCAGCTGGAAGTGTTCCAGGGCTGGTACCACAGGTGAGCAGCTGGAGGAGTCCCCGGGCTGGTACCACAGGTGAGCAGCTGGAGGAGTCCCGAGGTTGGTTCTACAGGTAAGCAACTGAAGGTGTCCCAGGGCTGGTACCAAAGGTGACAGGGAAACAGCTGGAAGTGTCTCAGGGCTAGTACCACATGTGAGCAGCTGGAGGTGTCCCAGGGGTGGCACCACAGGGGGATGTGTCACTGACAGGAGTCCATATCCATTGAGGAGTCCCAGGGCTGGTACCACAGGTAAACAGCTAGAAGTGTCCCAGGGCTGGTACCACAGGTGAGCAGCTGGAGGAGTCCCAGGGCTGGTTCCGCAGGTGAGCAGCTGGAGGAGTCCTAGAGCTGCTATCACAGGTGAGCAGCTGGAAGTATCCCAGGGCTGGTACCACAGGTGAGCAGCTGGAGGAGTCCCATAGCTGGTACCACAGGTGAGCAGCTGGAGGAGTCCCAGGGTTGGTACCAGGGGCAGACTGACCATTTAGGCACTCGGGCACTGCCCGAGGGCCCGGGGTCAGTAGGGGGCCCCATGAGATGCCCCTGGTACCTTTCATATGCTTTTTTGAGTGTGGGTGAGGACACAGGGGCCCCATGATTTCCTATTGCCTGGGGCCCGATGAGTTGTCAGTCCCTGCCCCTGGTTGGTACCACAAGTGAGCAGCTGGAAGTGTTCCAGGGCTGGTACCACAGGTGAGCAGCTGGAGGGGTCCCGAGAGGTTGGTTCTACAGGTGAGCAACTGAAGGTGTCCCAGGGCTGGTGCCAAAGGTGAGCAGCTGGAGGAGTCCCAGGGCTGGTTTCACATGTGAGCAGGTGGAGGAGTCCCAGGGCTGGTTTCACATGTGAGCAGGTGGAGGAGAGTCCCAGGGCTGGCACCACAGGGTATGTGTCACTGACAGGAGTCCATATCCAATGAGGGAAGGACAGTCTGAGTTTTTGTAGGTGTGACCTCAGGGTAGATGATATGGAGTATGGACTTTGGAGTGTAGCAGACTAGACAACTGCAGGGAGACACAGGTGTCATGGAGGTGCGTAGAGCACACAAGGAGTCCCTAGATGCCACAAGATGCTTTGGGGTGCACTGCATTCAGAGAGCACACAGGGGTGCGTTGGGATCATGAAATGACACAGAATGCCCTGGGGTGCACTGGAGACATGGGGCTCACAGGGGGGACACTGGAATCACAGAATGACACTGGTTGCTCTGGGGTGTACAGGAGTCACACATGATGCTCTGGGGTGTACAGGAGTCACACATGATGCTCTGGGGTGTACAGGAGTCACACATGATGCTCTGGGGTGTGCAGGAGTCACACATGATGCTCTGGGGGTGCCCTGCAGTCACAGGAGGATGCTTAGGGTCAAACCATGGGTACATGCTAGAGCCATAAGATGGAACCATGGGGCACACGGGGGGGGTGCACTAGGTCATCAGATGACAGAGGATGCAGATACAGGATGCTGTAGGGTGCACTGGAACCATGGGGTACACAGGGGTGCACTAGGTCATCAGATGACAGAGGATGCTGTAGGGTGCACTGGAACCATGGGGTACACAGGGGTGCACTAGGGTGCACTAGGTCATCAGATGACAGAGGATGCTGTAGGGTGCAGAGGAGTCACGGAGTGCACAGGAGAACACTGGGGTCACCGGTAAGCAGAGGCTGGGAGGTGACACAGAGGGAGAGGAGACCTCAGCTCAGGATCAGGATAAAAATGTTCAAACTAGAAATAATAATATAAACGATTGACATCCAGCGATGAGATTCCCATCAGATGGAAAGTTCGATAAGAAGCACACTCGTTCTGCAGCAGGTGGCCTAGCGAAGCTCGAACCTGCGTCAGAACCCCCCGACTCCAGAAATAAATATCTTGTCACTTATTTCCATCTTCTACATCTGGGATCATACGCAGCGATCGCACGCGAAGCCGCCCACACCGCACAACTGTTGTATTGGCAAGTCGAATTTATATCTCCATCTTCGTGGAAGTCTCACCCCGACCCATCGGAGGACGATCGACTTCTTCCTCAGCCAGATTCACCAACAAATGGCGTGAACACCAGAACCTTCCTTCAGATGAAACCAAAGCTGAAGATGAAGTCTTCCCTCTCACCACACCGATGTTGGAGAACTTTATTGACCCGGCCCCGAGCAAGTTGGGCCACGTTGGGCACCAACATCCCTATCAGGGGAGGACTGACAACTCATGGGGCCCCCGGGCAATAGGGGATCATGGGGCCCCTGTGTCCTTGCCCAAACTCAAAAAAGCCTATGAAAAAGGTACCAGGGGCATCTCAAGGGGCCCCCTACTGACCCCGGGCCCTTGGGCAGTGCCGAGTTTCCAAATGGTCAGTCCGCCCCTGCTCCCTATAGAGAATGGACAACCACAGGAAGATGGAACATCTGAGGTGCCCTCATATACATCGATCGGCCATAACATTCTGACTACTAGCAAGTGAATAACATCGATTATCTGGTTACAATGACATCTGAAGGTGGGCGGGGTATATGAGGCAGGAAGTGAACATGTTGTCCCTGAAGTTGATGCGTCGAAAGCAGAAAAACTGGACAAGTGTAGGGATTGGAGGGCCAAATTGTAATGTGTAGACAACAGGGTCAGAGCAACTCCAAAACAGCAGTTCTTGTGGGATGTTCCCGGTCTGCAGTGGTCAGGACCAACCAAAAGTGGTCCAAGGAAGGAGAACTGGCCATGGGGGTCATGGGGGGTCAAGGATCATTGATGGAGGTGGAGAGAGAAGGCTCTTTGATGGAGGTGGGGAGGGAAGGCTCATTGATGGAGGTGGGAGGGAAGGCTCATTGATGGAGGGGGGAGGGAAGGCTCATTGATGGAGGTGGAGGAGGGAAGGCTCATTGATTGAGGTGGGGAGGGAAGGCTCATTGATGGAGGTTGGAAGGGAAGTCTCATTGATGGAGCTGGGAGGGAAGACTCATTGATGGAGGTGGGGAGGGAAGGCTCATTGATGGAGGTGGGAAGGCTCATTGATGGAGGTGAGGAAGGAAGGCTTATTGATTGAGGTGGGGAGGGAAGGCTCATTGATGGAGGTTGGAAGGGAAGGCTCATTCATGGAGGTGGGGAGGGAAGGATCATTGACGGAGGTGAGGAAGGAAGGCTTATTGATGGAGGTGGGGAGGGAAGGCTCATTGACGGAGGTGAGGAAGGAAGGCTTATTGATGGAGGTGATGGAGGGAAGGCTCATTGATGGAGGTGGGGATTGGGAGGAGGGAAGGCTCATTGATGGAGGTGGGAAGGGAAGCTCATTGATGGAGGTGAGGAGGGAATGCTCATTGATGGAGGTGAGGGAGGGAAGCTCATTGATGGAGGCTTTTGAATGGAAGGCTCATTGATGGAGGTGAGGGGGGGAAGTCTCATTGATGGAGGTGAGGAGGGAAGGCTCATTGATGGAGGTGGGGAGAGAAGGCTCATTGATGGAGGTGGGGAGAGAAGACTCATTGATGGAGGTCGGAAGGGAAGGCTCATTGATGGAGGTGAGGGGGGAAGGCTCATTGATGGAGGTGAGGAGGGAAGGCTCATTGATGGAGGTGAGGAGAGATGGCTCATTGATGGAGGTGGGGAGGGAAGGCTCATTGATGGAGGTGGAGAGGATAGGCTCATTGATGGAGGTGGGGAGGGAAGGCTCATTGATGGAGGTAAGTAGGGAAAGCTCATTGATGGAGGTGGAGAGGGAAGGCTCATTGATGGAGGTGGGGAGGAGAAGGCTCATTGATGGAGGTGTGGAGGGAAGGCTCATTGATGGAGGTAAGTAGGGAAAGCTCATTGATGGAGGTGGAGAGGGAAGGCTCATTGATGGAGGTGGGGAGGGAAGGCTCATTGATGGAGGTGAGGAGGGAAGGCTCATTGATAGAGGTAAGTAGGGAAAGCTCATTGATGGAGGTGGAGAGGGAAGGCTCATTGATGGAGGTGGGAGGGAAGACTCATTGATGGAGGTGGGGAGGGAAGGCTCATTGATGGAGGTGGGAAGGCTCATTGATGGGGGTGAGGAGGGAAGGCTCATTGATGAAAGTGGGGAGGGAAGGCTCATTGATGGAGGTGGGAGGGAAGGCTCATTGAAGGAGGTGAGGGGGGGGCTCATTGATGAGGTGGAGAGGGAAGGTCATTGATGGAGGTGGGGAGGGAAGGCTCATTGATGCAGGTGGGGAGGGAAGGCTCATTGATGTAGGTGGGAGAGAAGGCTCATTGATGGAGGTGGGGAGGGAAGGCTCATTGATGGAGGTGAGGAGGGAAGGCTTATTGATGGAGGTGAGGAGGGAAGGCTTATTGATGGAGGTGAGGAGGGAAGGCTCATTGATGGAGGTGGGGAGGGAAGGCTCATTGATGGAGGTGAGAGAGGGAAGGCTTATTGATGGAGGTGAGGAGGGAAGGCTTATTGATGGAGGTGAGGAGGGAAGGCTCATTGATGGAGGTGAGGAGGGAAGGCTGGCCTGTGTAGTCTGATGCAATAGAAGAAGGCTCAGATTTCTGAAGAGTGAATGCTGGTTCTGATAGAAAGGTGTCAGAACACTCAGAAGGCATCGCGGTTTGTTGTGTACGGGGCTCTGTAGACCTGGGAAGAGGTGGCACCAGGATGCAGTATGGGAAGTCCCACACATGAAGTCCTCACCTCACAGCTAACAGGACCTAAAGGATCTGCTGCTGACGGCTTGGTGCCGATACCACAGATACCTTCAGAGGTCTAGTGGAGTCCATGGTGAGACGGGTCAGGAAAGGGTTACAAGGGTGGTCATGGTGGACGATCAGTGTATATTATGATTCGATGATTCCTGAGGAAGCAGAGACCTTCCGTGAAATGTGTTGAGGAGTGGAAGGTTGCTGTGATATTTCTGCAGACATGAAGGACCCCCAGGAAGGCGTACGAGCACCCGTCACCCAAGCACTGCACTCCTGGGGGGGAGGTCCTCTTCCTCTGGTACACATGTAGTAGTATGAGGAGTTGGTGAGACCACCCGTGTCCATACCTCGGAGCCTCTGCGGGCCTTCCTTTTATTTTGGTAGAACAGAAAGTCCCGATACGTCTCGGTGGTTGATGTATATGAGGAGGGAAGGCTTATTGATGGAGGTGAGAGGTGAGGAGGGAAGCTGGCCTGTGTAGTCTGATGCAATCCAAACACCGGTCTTCTCCCGTCTGATGCCGGTTATTTACAGGCGGCTCCTCTGCCAGCGCAGCTCTTAGACTCCGAATCGTTCATCTTGTCTGAGTTATCTCCTCGGCTCGCTGTCAGTCCTTGTTCCGCTCTTCACTCTGCACTCATCGTCCTTCTCAGAAGAGGCAGGAGGTCCGTGTTCCTCAGCGGCACCATCCCGGTACTCTACGGGAACTGAGCCGAGGTGATAGGTGCAGGACTCTGGAGAAGTTCTGGATCTGAGCATGGGAGGAGGTGATGGGCAAGGGGGCATTTAGGTTCCGTGCCACCCTAGGCAACATAAAATGTGCCCCTTCCCCGGGAGAGAGCCGGACATTGACCAACAACACCCCCCCCCACACACACACACCCCAGAGAGCCGGACATTGACCAACAACACCCCCCCCCCCCACACACACACCCCAGAGAGCCGGACATTGACCAACAACACCCCCCCCACACACACACCCCAGAGAGCCGGACATTGACCAACAACACCCCCCCACACACACACACCCCCAGAGAGCCGGACATTGACCAACAACACCCACCCCCCCCACACCCCAGAGAGCCGGACATTGACCAACAACACCCCCCCCCCCACCCCAGAGAGCCGGACATTGACCAACAACACCCCCCCCCACACCCCAGAGAGCCGAACATTGACCAACAACACCCCCCTCCCACACACACACCCCCAGAGAGCCGGACATTGACCAACAACACCCCCCCCCACACACACACCCCCAGAGAGCCGGACATTGACCAACAACACCCGCACACCCCCCCAGAGAGCCGAACATTGACCAACAACACCCCCCTCCCACACACACCCAGAGAGCCGGACATTGACCAACAACACCCCCCCCCCCCCCACACACACACCCCAGAGAGCCGGACATTGACCAACAACACGCACATCCCAGAGAGCCGGACATTGACCAACAACACCCCCCCCCACACACACACACCCCAGAGAGCCGGACATTGACCAACAACACCTCCACACCCCAGATCTCTCCATAAAGAGGTCCCCAGACCCCAGATCTCTCCATAAAGAGGACCCCCAGACCCCAGATCTCTCCATAAAGAGGTCCCCCAGGCCCCAGATCTCTCCATAAAGAGGTCCCCCAGACCCCAGATCTCTCCATAAAGAGGTCCCCCAGACCCCAGATCTTTCCATAAAGAGGTCCCCCACATCTCTCCATAAAGAGGTCCCCCAGACCCCAGATCTCTCCATAAAGAGGTCCCCCAGAACCCAGATCTCTCCATAAAGAGGTCCCCCAGATCTCTCCATAAAGAGGTCCCCCAGATCTCTCCATAAAGAGGTCCCCCAGATCTCTCCATAAAGAGGTCCCCCAGATCTCTCCATAAAGAGGTCCCCCAGACCCCAGATCTCTCCATAAAGAAGACTCCCAGACCCCAGATCTCTCCATAAAGAGGACCCCCAGATCTCTCCATAAAGAGGTCTCCCAGACCCCAGATCTCTCCATAAAGAGGGACCCCCAGACCCCAGATCTCTCCATAAAGAGGTCCCCCAGACCCCAGATCTCTCCATAAAGAAGACTCCCAGACCCCAGATCTCTCCATAAAGAGGACCCCCAGATCTCTCCATAAAGAGGTCCCCCAGATCTCTCCATAAAGAGGACCCCCAGATCTCTCCATAAAGAGGTCCCCCAGACCCCAGATCTCTCCATAAAGAGGACCCCCAGATCTCTCCATAAAGAGGACCCCCAGATCTCTCCATAAAGAGGTCTCCCAGACCCCAGATCTCTCCATAAAGAGGACCCCCAGACCCCAGATCTCTCCATAAAGAGGTCCCCCAGACCCCAGATCTCTCCATAAAGAAGACTCCCAGACCCCAGATCTCTCCATAAAGAGGACCCCCCCCAGATCTCTCCATAAAGAGGACCCCCAGACCCCAGATCTCTCCATAAAGAGGTCCCCCAGACCCCAGGTCTCTCCATAAAGAGGTCCCCCAGACCCCCCAGATCTCTCCATAAAGAGGACCCCCAGACCCCAGATCTCTCCATAAAGAGTGATAAAGTTGATAGCGATAAAGTTGATATAAAAAAAAATAAAAGGGACAGTGTGGAAAAATACATTTGAATCAAATAAATAATAAAAAAAATGTAATGAGCCCCTCCCCCCTGATCCCGCTCGATACCCTCCCCCAATCTCTTGTGCTCACATGCAAAGACGAATGCACAGGCAGGTCCCGCACGCAGATGGAAATGGCGACCGCACCACCCATGTGAGATATCACCGCAGACGTCACAGCGAGAGCAATCATTTCAAGGGCAGACCCCCCGTGTAC